ATGCTTTAGTTCTTTCAATGTCTTTGTAATTTGTGCAGTGGGTAAAAGCAAGTTTGGTTAGAGATCGAAATGCAGCCATTTTGTAAATGTATGGGTTGTGGGAGTTTGCAGGTATAAATAATGGAAGGTATGATGGTTTAAAATAAATACTTGTATGGATAAATCCATTTATAATGCTAATATTGAGATCCAAAAAGTGTACCTTTGAATTGCTGGTTTGGTCTAATTGTATGGAAAGCCCATATGGGTTGTTGTTCATTTGTTCTATGAAGCCTACTATATTTGGTTTTGTTTTCCATATTATAAAAAATATCGTAAATATACCTACTATAGATGATAATGCTAGAAAGGAATGAAGGTAATACTGTTCTTTCTAATAATCTAATGATCATCTCACAAAGGTCCCCCAATAGGGGCTGCCTAAAGGTACACCTCTTTTTTTATATATACATTTTGTAATCATATTGAAAGAAAGAGGAATAGCATAACATATGTGCTAATTCTACAATATGTTTTGATGTGCTGGTTCATTGTCTATACATAATAAAAAATCTTTAAGCATGCAAAAATGTGGATGTAAGTGAATGGAGGGGTATAATAATACAAAGTACAATGTTTTAATATAAACATTTTCTGTTGGAGTTGTCTCAATTCATTAATAAGTTGCTCTGAGTTACTAATGGAGAAGCTATAGGTTTTTAAATGCTCTTTGAATAAATTGTATCCTGTTACCCAACTTCATTGCCTGTAACAAGTGTTGTTCTTCTCCAATTCAGAAGACTTTGCAAAGTCCTCTGAATTGGAGAAGAAGAACACCGGTTACAGGCAGTGAAGTTGGGTAACTTATCTACTCCGGTGTTAAAATTTTTTTATAGTTGTATCTTGTTTTTCTAAAAACCTAGTAAGTGATTTAGCCTTACCAACAATGGGTCATATAATGTTACCCGGCTTGTGGGTCTTTGTGAACACAAATAGTTTAGGGTTATCAAAAATCATAACCACTTTATCAATTTTTAATTTTTTGGCACATGCTGTATGTGTGAGTTTAACAATATGTCTATGAAATTTGTCTATACAATAGACAAATTTGTCAACATAGCTATTTTCAATCTGTTTGCAGCAAGTTTCTCTGATATATTGGTTTAAAAGGGCTTTGTATTTCTCTTCTTTCAACACTACCATCAATCTACTTTTATCAGCTTTTAGCAAGGTGATTTTTTTTTCTGATGTACTGTATTCCAGTCTTACACAGCCAATTGCAGAGACAACGTTTAGAAGCCAATGGCAGTTTACAGATTGGATAGACTGCTGTTCAGAAAATTTCATTGTAGAGACGGCATTTCTCGCATGCCACAATGTAGACAGCAATTAGAAACAAGTTATTTGACCTACTTTCTAGACTCACTCGACAGCAGGTTTAGAGAGTTTTTTAATTAGAGTGGTAGCTTTGTTCATGGAAAAGTTTAGATAAAAACAGATATCATTTCTTTGATAAATGTTGTAAATGGTATGAATCGACAAAATTATTCATTAATTAATTGCTTGGAGCAAAAATAACAAAATTAAATACTTTAAATTTGTTTTAAATGTTCCAATTTCTATATTCAAATGGGTGAAGACTTAAAACTACAATTAATTTAAATCAGATGCATTTATTTACAATTAGAGTATTGTATTGGTTATAAAATGTTAATGCATTTCTGGGTCATTGTACTGTTAAACAAACAAGACAATTTTAATAATTACAGAAATCTGTTTATAGATATAAAAAAAATGTAATATTAATAATAAAATATTTAAAATTATTCATTTTGATAGTTACAAAGGGAGACAGTAATAAGATGTCAAAATAATTCCTTAAAAATCTATTTTGAATTTAGTATAAATTTTCTAAATATGGATTTGTTCGTATTTTAAACTGTATTGGCAATGAAATTAAATATCGAAATGGATAAGGGTTGTCATTAATTGCCAAACAATGGTTTTGATAGTCTTAAGATTTTATTTCTGGTAGCTTTCGGAATATAGCTGGCGACCATTTCTGACATCACAAACAAATAGCTCGATTGGCCAAATGACTCCTAAAACAGGGGAGTAATAGCGAAGAAAGTAAGAGCCAATGTTTTGCTAAAGTTCATTTAGATGACATTGGCATTCAGAAATAGACTATCGTCGTCTTTGCAACACATTTTAAACTGCAGTTCAGTCAGCCAATGTCTGTAGGCCGTTCTGTTGATAAACATTGTTTAACGTAAACTCTGTCTCTGCAATCAGCTGACAGTGCCTGAACTATTTTATTATATGTTACTTTCTACTTTACATGATGCTTTTTCTTTAGAAAATGTAATGTAAGAAAATCTCCCAGATTAAAGGGCATCAACTAAAAGTTAATGCCTTTTTAGCTTAGAATCCAAATACATTAATATTATAAAGTTCTATTTGAAATTTGCGTTAATTCCCAATCCCCACAAGAGAGTACATAGTTCTTTAGCTGATTTGATAGCATTTTTTGTAACTTAAACAATAACAAAAATTATTTTCAAACATTGATTGAATAACAGGATATTGAGCTGTAAATTTATTTAGGCCACCCTGTATATATTAAGGAAACTTGCTCAAAAGTAAAGTTAAAATCTTTCTACAGTGTACCAAAACCCATCCCTTCGTGAAATGTGATTTCATTTCCAGTAGGAATGAGCTTTTGGTCATCTTCACATATTGTGGAATTCTTTGGAATATTATGAATATTTTTTTCTTTAATATTTTCATAAGCTTATCACTATTTGTACTGATGTTTTATAATGTTTTATTATCTACTAATTCTGTTAGTTTATTGCTTTTCTAATTTGTATAAACTGTATGGACCTAAATGATATGTTTGAAAATAATGATGTTTAAAATAATAGTGTTCTTTTTCTAAAAAAATTGATTGCTAGTACACACATGTGATGATTAAAGAAGTTGTGTATTAGGGAAAATGTAACAATAACTAAAAAACAGTGTTTAATTTTACTAATTATTTGTTTATTTTTTTATAAACAAACAAATTAATATTACAGCATTTATAATATTTTTCAGATGTTTTTTTTTTATCTGTCTCCACTTTAAATCTGAAACAAGAAAGAGTGTCAATTGCTAAATGGTACCCTTTTAATAACCACATTTATGTCTTTTCTTTTCAAAATATTGTCATTAGCACTTTTCCACACCTTGTCTCTTGACAAGAACATAGCAGAGACAGACAATATAAGACAGTGAATTATTGTCTGTTCATTGAAAGATGTATCCAATTAAATAAAAAGCATATGGATCCCATCCATTTGCTTTTTTTTTATGTAATCTCCAATTTGCCTGTAGCGTTTGTTGTGGTGATGGTGTCCAGTTCAGTTTGTTCATTTTTATCATGCCAGTTCACCATATTTCATTCCTGAACATTTAGAATTTTTTCTACTGAACAACTGCAGTACTATGTACTGATTATATAGATACTTTTTATGTTGTCCATTGGTATGGCATACTGGTGTGTTCTGGAAAAAAAACAGCCTTGTCTAAATGTGTTATGTAATCATTGTTGACTAGAATGTGGCTACAACAATAACCAATACAAATTATTTTGACATGAAGATAGATAGGTAAGACTGTCATTTTGTACTAAATTTAATAATTATATTAATTCAAAAATTAAATTTTCTAGAATTTAGAATATTTTACTTACTATGCAGATGTGTTATCAGTTAGGCAATTCGACATCTGGCTGATCTTTGCTTCCAGACCAATTAAAAATAAACATGAAATCATACAAAATCATATATGGTTGGTGATTTGTTGTCAAAATTGTGCAGTGAGTGACCTGTATAATTATTACTCTTAATTATTAATTGATCTGGAAGGAAAGTTCTGATAGAGGTCTGGATACTGTAATTAGTAGTGCATCTGCATGGTAAGCAAAGTTTCGGGTTGTAATCCTATTCAAATTACCCTTTTCTTTTCAAGATATTTTAAATTATTAAATTTAGTACAAGATACCTACTTACCTCTTCTTTGGACCAAATTACTTTGTCTTGATTATTAATAGCAGCAAAGTTCTAGGCTGAAATTAATCTGGCAGTTAATATTTGGTAATTATGTAGTTTAGGCTTAGATATTTACATAGGTAATATAATTTACATATTAAATTGATTAAAATTAATTATCTCTTTTGTTCTTAATATTAGAATTCTCTAATGCTTTTTTAATTTTCGATAAATTACAAAATATAGAGATATTTATTTCATATTAGCAAATTGTTTTTATATTTAATTTCATTATGTTTGACATTTCTTTTCATACTGTGTTGTGATTTTTTTATGAAATTATTTTAATAATCAAGGGCTAAAAGTCTGTCCTTTTTAAGTTCATAGTGAAATTAACACAACATAATCAAAAAATAACTATATTCAAGTATAATTCAGGAATTTAACCATCTGAGGTATTTAAAATAGATTATTAATATTAATTTCACAACAAAACATATTGTTATCTACTCAAAATCCTTTGATTTTATTTTTATAAACAATATAAATAATTATTCCTCTTCAATGTTATATATTTTCAAGCTGATAATTTCAAATTATTTCCATTGTTATAGTGTCAGACCACCACCATAAAATAATTTCTATTTAGCATGTTCTTTATCAATTCCTGGCATCAAAAAATTTCATAAGTAATTACAATGTCATTTGAAAAATTCTTTTTAAATTTTTTGAAAATAGGGAAGTCTTACTAGGGTTATGGTATTTGTATAAAAAAGCAATTTGTTTTACTATTTGATTGACTTTATATTAGTCTTTTAATATAGTCAAGTAACTTTGTTGTTTATTAATGTATGTACAACAACTATTCATATGTTACATAATTGACTTTTTAAATAAAATTATTCTGTAGTTCAAAAAAATATTGGTGTAAAAATGACTTTATATAAATAAATTTAATAATGTTGGAATTTCTTAATAAATTTGTAGAGTTCAGAAAGAACGTGCATTAGCAGCCGAAAAAGAGAAGCTAGTAGTGGAACCAGCGAGTCAACCGGTTCTGCACCAAAAATCCCAGGAACAACTTATGAACAGAGTGGATGGAACCACTAAAAAGTAAAACAATTTTCTTTTTAATTAATTAAAATGAGAAATTATCATTTAAGTATTTGTTTTAAATGTTTGGTTCAGTTAAATATTAATTGTGAATAATTTGATGTAACATGTTTAAAATGTTATATTTGAATAAGTACTGAAATTACATATAACACTACCCAACATGGTTTTTACCTCCAAGGAAATAAAGGGGGATTTCTTATAAATTTTGATGCCTTCATTTCAAAATTCAGCATGAAAATGTCACATCATGTCAGTTTTTAGGTATTGTAGCCTGTATATCAGTTATTTGTGTATTTACTAATATAAAGTAGATGATATAACACTACCAATATTAGGAATTTATACTACAGGAAGCGCACTCAGTGAAGTGAAACAAACAGCTGAAATATGAAACTGATAGTGTTTCTAATCCAGAACTGAGCTTTGTTGCTAGGCTTGGACCAGTTTATTGAGAACATTGATATTTAAACAAAATAAATCTTCATTTACATTCAGCAAATTATATTAATCTCCTGAATTTAATAAGAATCTATTGTAACTGTAATTGTACAGTCTACAGTAATTTTTGCTGTTTGAAACAAGTATAGCTAGCTAAAATAGGAATCTGTCTTCACATATTTGCTAATGATCAAAAAGATAAGTGGTGCATCTTTTAATTTATTTTTTTATTTTTATTGGGCTGCAATTTGAAAAAATTGTAGATCTATAAATGCGTACTGTTGTCTGTCCATTTGTCTGACCTTAATGTTGGGAATGATGTTAGATGGATGAAAGTCAAGACCAGATATGGAACGCTTGGGAGCAGGAGGCCACAATCAACTACATACGAACTTCCACTCTAGACCAGAAATGACGTGAATTCAATTTAAAAATTTTTCCAAATGGAGTTACGTAGATGACTGGTAAGACATTACAAATTTGAGATGGAAAACATACATTTTAAATTGAATAAATTAAAAATATGATTAAAAATTGCAGCCTGGTATTGTGATAATGTTGCAATAAATAATTGCTCATTCTATTTTCATTTTACTGTGTGTTATAAAACTTGGATACAAATAAATATTAATATGAATAAAAGTCACATTTAGCTTATAGAACAGTCAATTTTAGTGCAGATTTTTTGATATCTTGTAGGATCAAAATGTGGTTTGAATTTCTCATAAAAGTGTAGATTCCTATCCTGATACATCTGCCAATATTCAAAATGGGGTAAATACCATTTTGTAAAAAACATTCTAAGAACCATCTTAGAATGTTTTTTACAGGTACATGTACTATGTCCATATTCTATTCTGTTTGCATATACACCATTACACAAAGGTGTTGTACAGCGTTTGATCCTCGTGTGATATGAAAATCTTTTAATGCTAGAGATATAAAAAAAAATTTTTTGTTGGGTAGTGTAATTATTGCTTTCCTGTCATAATTCAACTGAGAAAAATCATTTTGTTATTAGTACACAATGATATAAAGTATACATTTTTCCTGAATTATAATAAACTTTCCAAAAATTGTTTCAATAAACAGAAAATATCTTCAACTCCAATTTCTAAAAATTGAGTAATCAGTATGAAAATATTAGTTCGTAAATTTTTTCTTCTTTAATAAAAATTTGTAGATATATTTCATTTCAGGTTTTTTTGTTTAATTCAAAAGTATTTTTAAATCAATGTTTCATAACTCAAATTATAAGAAACCATAAAAAGAATTTAGTAATAGATCAAAATAACTTTTTCCTTTGCTGACGCAATGAAGAGCAATTACTTGCATTTTTTATAATATTTTATGCTTGGGAAAAGAATAAATACTGCTTTTTAAATAATTATCTTCAAAATTTGTCCAATATTAATGCAAAGATTCACAATTTTTTTCTGACATGTGACACGTTTATTTTTGATTTGCATATATAAATGTTACAAAATTTTGATACCATAAAAATTTTATATTAATATAATATGCAGTGGAATTCTGGTGAATTCCTTGTGTTACTGTAAATAGACAATGCTTTTTATTTAGTCTTTGGTGATGTGTGATGACCAAACAGATATTTTTAAGTAATTATTTATTTAAATTAACATTTACTTAAATATCATGAAAATAACTGCAAAGTTAAGGTAATCAAGATATTTATTTATTTTTTTTGTAGAAATATTTTCTTATATTAATTTAATCCAGCAACAGCTCACATAGTAGAATTTAAGTATATGTCACAAGATAGAATATAAAATTAAAAAGTTGACAAATTAGAATAATATACATTTCAATTTTAGAATAAATAACAATTACTTTCATGATATTTGATATGATGATCATGTTTTACACAATTCTAAACATTTACAGTTGTAATTTGTAAATGAATAAGAAACATCTTGTAGTAATAATTATTCTTATTTATATATATTTTTAAGTTAAGATTTTTCTGTAAACAACTATTTGGTCTTAAGTATTTATTAATATGACAAAATTGAACATTTTTAATTAATTACAGTTTTGATTAATTTTTCATTTAGTTATGAAGGCATCTGATAGACAATAATGAAGAGTCAAAAATATAATAGTAATAAAAACTGATACAAGTTTTAACCAGCACTGGCGAAGAAAGTGCTTTAAGGCAAGGAAATGTATACGTTCGAATTGAGAATGAGAATACGAAAAACAATGAAACGTTCAGACTTTAGTGTGAATAATCACCCATTTACATTTCTTTGTGGGGTGTCTTAATGGCATATATTGCTCTTTCTACTAGTAAACATAATATATTTAATAACTGAAGTCAACAATGATGAGCTTATTTTGCAAGATCAGCTGTAGATAATGTCGGATGAAGAAAATGTCTCAGGAAAATGTGGGAGATTAACGTGCTATAAGTTGACTGTTGTGTGTTCATGAAACAGCCGATTCCAAGAATTTGTTTCAATGAATGATATTCTGCCAAAAATAATTTTTTGTTACAATGAAAGTTCTCATAGTGCTATTATATGCAATGACATTTATCTGCTGTGTCAGTTGTTCACTCGTTCAGTTTTACTTTTTTTCATTCATTTAGTGTGATAAGTTATTGATAAACATATCTTGTGGACTTACTGTTATTTATTGTTATTCTCTATATTTGAATTATGAACAAAATCAATTAATTTAACTTCAAACTAAAAATATATAGTTCTTTTTATTTTAAAAGTTTATCATATCATTTGCATACTGTAAGTTTTAAGGAGTAAACATATCATGCAGCTCAGAAATTTCGTGAGAAATTTATTCAAAGTCATGATTTGTTTTTAAAAAAAGCAGCAAAATGTCATGGTAAATATCTTTCTATTTATTTTATGGACTACAGTTTTCATTTTTAATCCTTTGGCAATTTCCAAAGCAATCATTTTATTAGAATGAATAAATATTCTTTTAACAGGAGGAAATTTAGAGCAAAATATAACTGCAGCTAATTTTTCTTCATTATATATATCGTATATATACATATATATAAATAAATATATATACACGTACACACAAATGGAAACTATGTATATTTGGCATTTTTAGTAAAATGAAATATTTTCAAGAAAAGCCTCCAATAAAAAAATCACTGTACAGATATCACCCTGTATGATCAATTGTACAGTTAAGAAACAAATAGTGATATTTTTTTGGTTGCATTCGTATAGATAGTAATATTTTTATTATTCTATTGTGACTAGTTTTTCAAAGAGAGAAATTTATCATCATATGGAAATGTATTTATAATTGAATTTAGTTGAGGTAGATCAGTCCAAAAATAATTTTTTGGAGCTTCTCCCTGACTGATACATTCCACATTATGCTTTTATTTTATTTTAGAGATTTTTAGTTTCCATTGAATCGTTTTTTTTTATGCATTTTGATTTATTTATTGCATTGAAACATGTGCATGCCAGGATTGTTATCATTTGCTTGAACATTATATTATAGATCTGATTGAAAGTTTAAAAAAGGAAAAAATGTTTAACAAGTTGCTAAGCATTACTCTCCTCTTAATGTTTTCATTGCTGTTAAATATTTAAAATATATTTATTATTAAGTATTATTTTGTTATTTTTCTGTGTTAGTGGCATATTTGATGTTGTTGCCATTGTATTTTATTAAAAAGTATTTTCTTTTTAAAATTTAATCAGTATTGTTGGCATTATAATGATTGTATTTTGGGTGATTCATCCTACAAATTATAAATATAAGATGACTGCCCAAAATACTTTTGTTAGTGGTAGTGACGTAGTCATTGCTTTATTATAAATATAAAATAAATAAATAAAATAAATTGTACGAACTGTGATTTTAAAATAGGGTCATTTAATTTTCCAGACATATTAGTAAAATGAAATTAATTTCTAAATAATCCTGAAGAAATTGTTGACTTTGAATGAACAAGGCAAGTTTTTACTGACTTCTCTTTCCAAATAAAACTAGCGACAATTAAAGAAAACTAAATATGTTATTCATAAAATATTACTTAACTTTCATCTGTTGTATTACCAGTAATGCTACTTAGGTGTGTAGTATATGCTTGGAGAGAATCAACTTTAACTGCTGCTGTATTGTTGCAATTTATAAAAAAAAAAGAAAAAAAAAGAAAAAACCTTACTCAACTCTCTAGCATCTGCCACCCATCAAATTTTCTCGGAATATCTGTATTTTATCATGTGTATTAACATTGCAATTTTAACATTGACACGTATTGCTACGTTTCTTCTTTGAGCTCATAAAATATTAAACACAAGTGTTGATGGGAATAGTCATTTTAGGAGACGCCCTTCAAACACTCAAATTGCCACAGTTGTTATTGTAAATAATTGTTGATTGTTTTCAGAGGTTTATTCTATTCTTCAACACTTGTGACGAAAGCTGCCACATGGATTTTAATGAGTGCTTAGCACTTGATTTTGGTAGTGTGATAAGATACGCTCAAGAGATAATGCTGTGTAGCTGCTATGTGGCACGCTTGCAATTCATACCATTTTGACCGTAAATCAAGAAATGTGCTGTTTTTCCAGTTTTTATTTTTATTATTAATTTTTTTTTTTAAATTTTGTCCCGTTTGTATAAGTTATGAAAGTGTTTTTTAACTTTGTCCGTACTCTCTGTATGAAAAGAACATGTACAAATGCTCAATGCAGTATATCAGTATAATTTCTCAGTGTGTAGAATCATCACTTGGAGATAATCAGTTTGCAAATATTTAATGTAATCAGTAATATTGTTAATACTCTAGAAAAATTAATGCTCTGTAGTAAACAAATAGATATTTCTTTTTAAAAGTTTTAATGTTTGAAACCAAATGCTGCTAAAAGATTCTATATTGACAGTTTTTGGTGACTAATTATAATAGATAGAACATTTTAAATGTTCTTTGACTTACTATGCTGTTAGTTAACAGAGAATAGTAATTCTCTCATATTATTGTAAAAATTTCTTTGTGTTGAAATTTTAAAACTAAAAAAAAATTATAAAATTTGCAGAAATCTGATTATTAGCCTAAAGTATGTACACAAGATTTAAGTGGACTGTAAATTGTTCAAATTTATTCCTCATGATTTTGAAAGCATTATCGTCTTCCCATTGCAGCAAGAATGGTGGAGTCGATGTGTGCTCCAGGTAAAGAAAATTTAAATGTGATTCCGTAAATATTTTAGGCTATCTTTCGGTTTCTGCTGTCAACAATATTACTTCATTCATTTCTCGTCGTGTAATTCGGCTGATCATATTTGCCGATTCAAACGAAAAATACTCCATTTATAATTTCTTCCTTTGTTATAAAATGTCTAGTCATATTGCACATTGTTCTTTGTTTCTTAACCTTCTACAAATGGTGTATAATTCCCATCCCTTTTGTTATTGATACATAATTTCCAAAGCAATCATTTTATTAGAATGAATAAATATTCTTTTAACAGGAGGAAATTTAGAGCAAAATATAACTGCAGCTAATTTTTCTTCATTATATATATCGTATATATACATATATATAAATAAATATATATACACGTACACACAAATGGAAACTATGTATATTTGGCATTTTTAGTAAAATGAAATATTTTCAAGAAAAGCCTCCAATAAAAAAATCACTGTACAGATATCACCCTGTATGATCAATTGTACAGTTAAGAAACAAATAGTGATATTTTTTTGGTTGCATTCGTATAGATAGTAATATTTTTATTATTCTATTGTGACTAGTTTTTCAAAGAGAGAAATTTATCATCATATGGAAATGTATTTATAATTGAATTTAGTTGAGGTAGATCAGTCCAAAATAATTTTTTGGAGCTTCTCCCTGACTGATACATTCCACATTATGCTTTTATTTTATTTTAGAGATTTTTAGTTTCCATTGAATCGTTTTTTTTTATGCATTTTGATTTATTTATTGCATTGAAACATGTGCATGCCAGGATTGTTATCATTTGCTTGAACATTATATTATAGATCTGATTGAAAGTTTAAAAAAGGAAAAAATGTTTAACAAGTTGCTAAGCATTACTCTCCTCTTAATGTTTTCATTGCTGTTAAATATTTAAAATATATTTATTATTAAGTATTATTTTGTTATTTTTCTGTGTTAGTGGCATATTTGATGTTGTTGCCATTGTATTTTATTAAAAAGTATTTTCTTTTTAAAATTTAATCAGTATTGTTGGCATTATAATGATTGTATTTTGGGTGATTCATCCTACAAATTATAAATATAAGATGNCTTGATGTATCAATGCCCTATTACCCGATTTATCACCTGATTAAAATGTTCATATCTTCTTTAATCCATAATATATATATATATATTTTTTTTTTTTTATCTGAATAAAGTCATACTCAAAATAAATTTTGATTATTATTAAAAATATTATAGTATATTTCTGCTTTATTTGAAAGGATGATGTCTGATTAAAAGTTTCCAAAGTTTTCTAAATGAATTCTGAATCTATCAATGGGTAGGTAAGTTCAAATATACTGCTTGTTAAAAGTTAAGATATAAAACTAATTTTTTGTAAAGTATTTGCATATTGAAATCTGTAAAATGTGATAAAAGTAATTTATTTAGTATGCAAATACTAAATTTTTTTCTGTTAAAATCTTATTTTGATTATAAGCACTTTCCAACAAATAATGACTAGTCACTCATAAGCACTTTTCAGTATTTTGGCTATGAAAGTTTGAAAATAACTTATCAATATAAAAGTTATTTATGTGATAGTATTTTGTAGCTTTCAGACTAATCAGACACAAGCTGAGATGTCTTGTAGATTAGGATAATCCCAGAATTAAAAACAGACGATTAATTTCTTGCCCTAACTACTATTTATTTACAATGATCACAACTTACCATTTCTGTATGAAGTTTATATCATCTGCATTATGTTGAAGATTGTTGGAAAGGCCTTTTTTCATTATTTCATCATAATACATGTTAAAAGACATCATCTGTCAAAACCCATTTAAATTGCAGTTGCTAACATTATTATTGAATTCTATTTGGAAAATTTCTTGTTTCATTAAGATTGGAGAACAAGAATGTTATAGGAGTTTAATGTTTTGGGAAGGAAAATGAAAATATCCTACAAACAGTGACTAGTCATTGATCTAACATATATTCAATAGAATGTTTGTTGGGTGTTTTTAAAAGATTTTATCAACCTTTATAATCTTATCTAAAACTGTCTGAGAATTTTTTTAAAGTATATGTATGCTACTGCTAATTTCATTCTTCTTATCTAGAAGAGGAGGATCACTCAATTTTAATTTTTTTATACTGTTTAAATGTATTTTAAACATATTTTAAAATAAATTTAGCTATTTTGTTTGCATACCCTTTTATAGTGTACTATGGACAAATTTCATTTGATTATATACATAGTGTTTTGAAATATTTAGACTTCTTCTCTTAACTTTTGATGAGCAGTATAGTTCTAGTTACCTGAAATTCTTAAGACCTCACTCTCATTTTACTAAAATAAAATTAGTTATGGATATATAGATACAAAAGATTAAGGTTAAAACAAATTAAATGTTAAAAGTAAAATATTTTATCCATTTTTNTAGAATGAATAAATATTCTTTTAACAGGAGGAAATTTAGAGCAAAATATAACTGCAGCTAATTTTTCTTCATTATATATATCGTATATATACATATATATAAATAAATATATATACACGTACACACAAATGGAAACTATGTATATTTGGCATTTTTAGTAAAATGAAATATTTTCAAGAAAAGCCTCCAATAAAAAAATCACTGTACAGATATCACCCTGTATGATCAATTGTACAGTTAAGAAACAAATAGTGATATTTTTTTGGTTGCATTCGTATAGATAGTAATATTTTTATTATTCTATTGTGACTAGTTTTTCAAAGAGAGAAATTTATCATCATATGGAAATGTATTTATAATTGAATTTAGTTGAGGTAGATCAGTCCAAAATAATTTTTTGGAGCTTCTCCCTGACTGATACATTCCACATTATGCTTTTATTTTATTTTAGAGATTTTTAGTTTCCATTGAATCGTTTTTTTTTATGCATTTTGATTTATTTATTGCATTGAAACATGTGCATGCCAGGATTGTTATCATTTGCTTGAACATTATATTATAGATCTGATTGAAAGTTTAAAAAAGGAAAAAATGTTTAACAAGTTGCTAAGCATTACTCTCCTCTTAATGTTTTCATTGCTGTTAAATATTTAAAATATATTTATTATTAAGTATTATTTTGTTATTTTTCTGTGTTAGTGGCATATTTGATGTTGTTGCCATTGTATTTTATTAAAAAGTATTTTCTTTTTAAAATTTAATCAGTATTGTTGGCATTATAATGATTGTATTTTGGGTGATTCATCCTACAAATTATAAATATAAGATGACTGCCCAAAATACTTTTGTTAGTGGTAGTGACGTAGTCATTGCTTTATTATAAATATAAAATAAATAAATAAAATAAATTGTATGAACTGTGATTTTAAAATAGGGTCATTTAATTTTCCAGACATATTAGTAAAATGAAATTAATTTCTAAATAATCCTGAAGAAATTGTTGACTTTGAATGAACAAGGCAAGTTTTTACTGACTTCTCTTTCCAAATAAAACTAGCGACAATNGTTTATAGATATAAAAAAAATGTAATATTAATAATAAAATATTTAAAATTATTCATTTTGATAGTTACAAAGGGAGACAGTAATAAGATGTCAAAATAATTCCTTAAAAATCTATTTTGAATTTAGTATAAATTTTCTAAATATGGATTTGTTCGTATTTTAAACTGTATTGGCAATGAAATTAAATATCGAAATGGATAAGGGTTGTCATTAATTGCCAAACAATGGTTTTGATAGTCTTAAGATTTTATTTCTGGTAGCTTTCGGAATATAGCTGGCGACCATTTCTGACATCACAAACAAATAGCTCGATTGGCCAAATGACTCCTAAAACAGGGGAGTAATAGCGAAGAAAGTAAGAGCCAATGTTTTGCTAAAGTTCATTTAGATGACATTGGCATTCAGAAATAGACTATCGTCGTCTTTGCAACACATTTTAAACTGCAGTTCAGTCAGCCAATGTCTGTAGGCCGTTCTGTTGATAAACATTGTTTAACGTAAACTCTGTCTCTGCAATCAGCTGACAGTGCCTGAACTATTTTATTATATGTTACTTTCTACTTTACATGATGCTTTTTCTTTAGAAAATGTAATGTAAGAAAATCTCCCAGATTAAAGGGCATCAACTAAAAGTTAATGCCTTTTTAGCTTAGAATCCAAATACATTAATATTATAAAGTTCTATTTGAAATTTGCGTTAATTCCCAATCCCCACAAGAGAGTACATAGTTCTTTAGCTGATTTGATAGCATTTTTTGTAACTTAAACAATAACAAAAATTATTTTCAAACATTGATTGAATAACAGGATATTGAGCTGTAAATTTATTTAGGCCACCCTGTATATATTAAGGAAACTTGCTCAAAAGTAAAGTTAAAATCTTTCTACAGTGTACCAAAACCCATCCCTTCGTGAAATGTGATTTCATTTCCAGTAGGAATGAGCTTTTGGTCATCTTCACATATTGTGGAATTCTTTGGAATATTATGAATATTTTTTTCTTTAATATTTTCATAAGCTTATCACTATTTGTACTGATGTTTTATAATGTTTTATTATCTACTAATTCTGTTAGTTTATTGCTTTTCTAATTTGTATAAACTGTATGGACCTAAATGATATGTTTGAAAATAATGATGTTTAAAATAATAGTGTTCTTTTTCTAAAAAAATTGATTGCTAGTACACACATGTGATGATTAAAGAAGTTGTGTATTAGGGAAAATGTAACAATAACTAAAAAACAGTGTTTAATTTTACTAATTATTTGTTTATTTTTTTATAAACAAACAAATTAATATTATAGCATTTATAATATTTTTCAGATGTTTTTTTTTTATCTGTCTCCACTTTAAATCTGAAACAAGAAAGAGTGTCAATTGCTAAATGGTACCCTTTTAATAACCACATTTATGTCTTTTCTTTTCAAAATATTGTCATTAGCACTTTTCCACACCTTGTCTCTTGACAAGAACATAGCAGAGACAGACAATATAAGACAGTGAATTATTGTCTGTTCATTGAAAGATGTATCCAATTAAATAAAAAGCATATGGATCCCATCCATTTGCTTTTTTTTATTGNAATTTTCTCGGAATATCTGTATTTTATCATGTGTATTAACATTGCAATTTTAACATTGACACGTATTGCTACGTTTCTTCTTTGAGCTCATAAAATATTAAACACAAGTGTTGATGGGAATAGTCATTTTAGGAGACGCCCTTCAAACACTCAAATTGCCACAGTTGTTATTGTAAATAATTGTTGATTGTTTTCAGAGGTTTATTCTATTCTTCAACACTTGTGACGAAAGCTGCCACATGGATTTTAATGAGTGCTTAGCACTTGATTTTGGTAGTGTGATAAGATACGCTCAAGAGATAATGCTGTGTAGCTGCTATGTGGCACGCTTGCAATTCATACCATTTTGACCGTAAATCAAGAAATGTGCTGTTTTTCCAGTTTTTATTTTTATTATTAATTTTTTTTTTAACTAAAAAATAGAATTTTTAAACTATTCATTTATATATATATTTTTTCGTCTGTTATTCCAAATTATATAGTTTAAAGAACATATAGTTTAAAAGAAAAGAATTATATGCTCTTTTTAAATTCATACAATAAAGTCTTAATAATTTTATGCAAAATGTGTAATTTTGTATCTTCAGTTTTTTTAATTTTGTAAACTTTTGTTTAAATAATTGTTTACAATGTTAAATATATGAAAGAAAGAAATGATACAAACATTGTAAAAAAAGAAAACAAAATCAGCAATAGTTCTTATTATCACAGTATTCTTTACTGTTCTATATTGTGCAATGAACATTTTAGTTTTAGTAAACTGAAATTTTTAATTCTCTCTCATCTATTCACTTAATATAATTGTACACAAAATTCGGATACAATGCATGGCATGGCACAGCTAATTTGTCATGCAGTGCCTTGATGTATCAATGCCCTATTACCCGATTTATCACCTGATTAAAATGTTCATATCTTCTTTAATCCATAATATATATATATATATTTTTTTTTTTTTATCTGTCTCCACTTTAAATCTGAAACAAGAAAGAGTGTCAATTGCTAAATGGTACCCTTTTAATAACCACATTTATGTCTTTTCTTTTCAAAATATTGTCATTAGCACTTTTCCACACCTTGTCTCTTGACAAGAACATAGCAGAGACAGACAATATAAGACAGTGAATTATTGTCTGTTCATTGAAAGATGTATCCAATTAAATAAAAAGCATATGGATCCCATCCATTTGCTTTTTTTTATGTAATCTCGGGTAACTTATCTACTCCGGTGTTAAAATTTTTTTATAGTTGTATCTTGTTTTTCTAAAAACCTAGTAAGTGATTTAGCCTTACCAACAATGGGTCATATAATGTTACCTGGCTTGTGGGTCTTTGTGAACACAAATAGTTTAGGGTTATCAAAAATCATAACCACTTTATCAATTTTTAATTTTTTGGCACATGCTGTATGTGTGAGTTTAACAATATGTCTATGAAATTTGTCAACATAGCTATTTTCAATCTGTTTGCAGCAAGTTTCTCTGATATATTGGTTTAAAAGGGCTTTGTATTTCTCTTCTTTCAACACTACCATCAATCTACTTTTATCAGCTTTTAGCAAGGTGATTTTTTTTTCTGATGTACTGTATTCCAGTCTTACACAGCCAATTGCAGAGACAACGTTTAGAAGCCAATGGCAGTTTACAGATTGGATAGACTGCTGTTCAGAAAATTTCATTGTAGAGACGGCATTTCTCGCATGCCACAATGTAGACAGCAATTAGAAACAAGTTATTTGACCTACTTTCTAGACTCACTCGACAGCAGGTTTAGAGAGTTTTTTAATTAGAGTGGTAGCTTTGTTCATGGAAAAGTTTAGATAAAAACAGATATCATTTCTTTGATAAATGTTGTAAATGGTATGAATCGACAAAATTATTCATTAATTAATTGCTTGGAGCAAAAATAACAAAATTAAATACTTTAAATTTGTTTTAAATGTTCCAATTTCTATATTCAAATGGGTGAAGACTTAAAACTACAATTAATTTAAATCAGATGCATTTATTTACAATTCGAGTATTGTATTGGTTATAAAATGTTAATGCATTTCTGGGTCATTGTACTGTTAAACAAACAAGACAATTTTAATAATTACAGAAATCTGTTNAGTAAAATATTTTATCCATTTTTTTTTTAAATTTATGCTAGAACTCTAAATTTATTATAAATTATTTAAATCTCTCTAAATAGAAAGGAAGGAAACTTTATCAATTAGATTTAACAATTAAAAAATATAATTAAAACATGCCAGGACAAAATTAATACATTACAAAATTAAATGTGTAGAAGTATTACAAAAGTTCCCAGTGTGAAAAGGACTTTAAAATTTAAAAGAAGACACTTTTGCACTTTTGTCATGATACTTCTATGCATTTAATTTTGTAATGGATTTAACAAGTTTTCTTTTAAAAATTCATATTTTAAAATCTTTCACATATCATTTCAAATTGTTTCCAGCTTTATTAATAGAAATGCCACACTTGTCCAAAATTCTCATAAACACAAATTTGGAATTCTAAATTTAGAACTATAAAATTTAGCAATTAAAGTGGTGTCAAGATAATACAAGGCATTAAAATTTAGATTCAGAATCTCAAAGTTTTTAAACTCAACTATTGAATTTTGGATTTTTAATCAGGTTTAATTCTAATAATTAGTCACTTCAATAAATTTAGAATTTTAAAACAATCCTGAAGACTTAAATTATTTTAAGTTATCTGAATTAAATCAAAACACACACACATTAGATTATTTATGTACTTAGCATTAATATCTTTAATGTATTTGAAAAAAAAAATCCCTTTTAGTTAATGATATTAGTAATACATCATTCAAGAATATAGAAAGGCATCCTAATATTCAGTATGACATTAAAAAGAATAATAATTTCGAACGTAAAATATATCATATTTAAAAATTAATATGTTTGCTCTATATTTGAATAAAATTTGGTATTTTTAACATAATTAAATGCAATTTATAATTTAATTTAATTTTCAAAAAAATTTAATTTATATCAGCTTTTCATTCAGAAATCTGATCGAAGAGGAAGAGAGAAATCATTTTTATTTGTATATATGAATTTTTTTCTTGCTTTGAGATTTTGAATCTGTTACATAAAAAAAAATACTTTAAATATAGCCTATGATGTCTTGTATAGATCTGTAAAATATACAATTATTAATTATAAATGGTTGTAACATCAAACATTTCAAATAAAAATGGCAAATTGTAGAAATTATGAAAAATACTATTGTTTCAAATTACATTTTCATAGACTTCGAGAAATATTAATTAATTAATAATGCTATGTATCGTATAATCGAGGGGGAATTTTCATACGGAAAACACTGAATTAAGTTGTTCAACATGATGTTTTTGACTAAATATAAAAAGGGCCTTACCACTGGGGTATTTAAATTTCTTTACTAAACGTTTTTCGGCTGTTTGAGCCCTCGTCAGGTAAATTGTGTTCGAATTCGGAACAACATCGAACATTTCTTTACCAATTCACAATGGAATTAACAAGAATATAGTTAAGGAATTTTTTAACATTAAAATCTAAACTAAAGTAAAGAAATTTAAATACCCGGTGGTGAGGAGTTTTATATATTTAGTTAAAATAGGAGCTGTGTTAGAATATATTGTTATATTAAAGCTGTTTTTGTTTTAATAATAATTCCGTTGGATCGGTCGAGATAGTGCACATTGACGTAAATTTGACGTCAGATTGATATGAAAATGTATTTTATCCCAAACGAATAGATCAATTTCTATTGTTTCATAAAAGAATTTTAATTCCAAAATTTAATCGTTAATAATTGAATAGTTATTAAGACTAAAGTAAAAAATATATAGGCCTATATACACGAAAAAATGCATTGTCTGAAAATATTCGCAATACTATTTGGCGAAAATTATGTCACTTTGATGGCTTTGTTTAATAAAAAATAAAATTAACTATCTGAGATGGATAAAATTAAAGTACGTGCGATTCTGTTCGTTCGGTTGGAATAGTGCAAACTTAGGCTATATCTTAATTTGAAGTCACCTCGAGTTTTACAGCTATAACGGCGTGGAATTTATGTAAAAATGTTCATCCCAACGAAACGAATCGTCTGATAAGATATAAAACGAATGGAAATTAATGTCGTATTTAATTTTTATGAAATTAATTTAAATTTATAATTTTTCGATTAATTTCGTTTTTCTACTTTATTTTTTCCCCTCCCATCGGACGCGAATTTCTAGATTACGATATTTTCAATGCAAGTTCGTTTGGAATTTCTTTGCTGGTCCTAACCGCAAAGTTTCGATTAATGAGAATTATAAAAATATGAACTATATCCGTAAGTTTATGTAAGTAGAAACCATTTTTCTATTATTATTTAATTCTTAATTGCGTAAGTTGATTTAAATAATTTATATAAAAAAAAAGTTGTAATATTAAAGTGTTCTCTCATTTTCAAAAGTGAAGAATCCTAAATGTAATAAATCCACTTTAGCCTGCGGTAAATATCTAAGTGACAATACTGTAGATCTCTGAATACTGTTTAATACCCAGAAAACCATAGACGAGTCATAGTAAATCGAATTGTAATTTCCCATGGGTTGGTTATGGTAAATGGAAGTTTTGTTTCTGGCAATATCAAACTGTGCAGTATCATGTCGAGAAAAAAAAAAACAGTCAGGAAATAGGTTGTATCTATCTACTGTGCACATTTTAGAGAGATGAGAAAATGCGTGAGAATAAGTGGACGTTTTTATAAACGTTTATTTTAGATCTAAACAAACGTATTGTTTAGGAAATGATACGAAATAGCAAAGCTTTAAATTATCTCACATTTGTCTTAAGGCATTTTTCCGCCTACATTCATTTAATGTCATGTGCGAAATGGGGTCGTAAAAGTATCCTTTTTGGAAACGGTTTAATTAAATAAAAAGTGTGTTTATTATCACGAAATTCTTCCTCGTCGTTTAAATCAACCATTTTAATTCGAGTATTGTAAAAAAACCGTGTTACTGACTCCAGGAAAAAGAATCGTTTTCGCCATCCGAGTGCTGACTTTGTAACATTCCTATCTAATGAATAACGATGTAACTTGAAATACCTTTATATTGCTCTAACTACTATCTGAGGAAAATTACAATGTAAAACTTTAGCACTAATAGTTTACAGCATTTATTTCTTTAAGATATTTGTCTTGAGAAGATTTGATATCACAGGTTTGATATTTATGTTGCATGATTTCCATTATTATAAACTCAATGTTAAATAAGCATAGACTTTATACAGACTACGATTATTTCACATTGAGTGGGGCCGTGAAACAATGTTATAAGATTGTTTGATAAAACATTAATCGATTTTTTTTATAAGAAAATGATTATAGCGCACCATTCGAAAGTAAATACGCAAGTTTTAATTTTTTAAGAAAGTTATTTGAAATGTCTTAACAGGATCGCGTCAACGAACTGAAAATTAGCATTACTAGTAGAACACCGTGAAACGGATACTATTGTGATTTTATTTAGGCTTATCACAATAGTATCCGTCCCGAGCGGCAATCGTGTATGTGTTTATATAAACTATATATATATTACACGATTGCCGCTCGGGACGTGCTCGTTGTCACATTTTGACAAAGAGCACTTCATAAATATCTCATGAATGGAAATGTTTCCTTGAAGAGTTATTTTGATTACTGTTGAAATATTCATCGCCGTAAGATTTCGAGAGGCCCCCTTTTATCAAACACCTTCATGTGAATCAAAACATCTACTTTACATTAATTCCAAGAAATATATATGCTAAACACTTAGAAGATAACCATACTTAAAATACGAGTAATGATCATGGACTCGAATTTCATAGGAAGTGTTTTTCTCAAAACTATCCTGTATATCTGCCGGTTTAAATCGTACATTATAAACACGCGCCTGTCTCAGATTTCACACACATTATTTATCATTAAAAGTAGGATTTTAACTTTTAAAAATGTACAGCACGTGGAAAATTACTAATAACATTTTTGATACAGACCAGTACACGCAGTCAGGAAATCCGTAATCCGAGAACACCTGCAATCCGATAATATTGGCGAAAATGACCGTTTCTGAATATCGAAAAGAATTTTGGATAGAAATAAAATAGTTTTCGGTATTGAATTTTATAAATGGTCATACGTGCCATATAGATTTGATACGCATCTGCTGTATAGGATATTTTGGACATAACGTTCATTTTTATAGGATTTATTAGTTCTACGTTTAACAAAAACAATATTAAATATTGTTAAATATAGAAGAATTTTCTTGAAAAATAATTAATTATTAATTTGGTTTTTGAATATATGAAAGAATAAAAAAGTTATGTTGGAATTCCATTTGGAGAAAGAAAGAAGAAGAAAAAAATTTATAAGTGATGGTTTAGTCTAAATTTTTAACAATATTTACCCCTTTTTTAGGATTATACTTTGTAATTGGTAAATTATTAACCGTTTTTTATTTAATCGCGAGACATGGCAGTGATTCCGTGCCAAGTAAAACAGTAATTGACTAATTATATATAGGAGACAGAGTTGCGATTTTTCGGGGTCGATTTCTCTGTCTCCAGTGCCTAAAGTAATTCTGAATATTTCGTTCGAAAGATAATTTACTTAGGTAGTGTGCAAAATTTAAGGATTAAAGGAGTTGTCGAAATATAAGCAATAAAAAAGGTGCAAAAACCAAAGAAAAACTAAGAAATTTTACTGTCATCTAAATTGTCCGAAGTTTTTACTTGGCGCATGTTGTTTTTACATCTTGGATATTTGTGTTTTGATTAAAGTATTCAATAGTATTTTCTAATTCAATAATTAATCTAAAACTCGAGATTTAGAAAAATCCGTAATTAATTTAGTCCGTGTCCGGATGATGCCAGATCAAACTGCAGTATAACATGAAGAATACCCATATTTCGTAAATTAAGAGTACGTAATATCAAGCGTTCAAAAGTCAGAAACATTTCTTTGGATTATTCGTAAGTTTTCTATTTATTTAGAATATTGCATTCATAAAATATAGGATAAGCAACTTTGCTATTTAAGCGAGTGTAAAATTAAATTCAAATTAATACTTTATTTTCATTCCTAACAAATATGCGTAAAAAACAATTACAGCTTGTAGTCTTCTACTCACTAAAACTATTTCATCATTGTTACAATCTTATTATCATTATCAACTCATCTCGATTATATAGTAAGCCCAGATCCCAAACGGTTAGGAGTTGAAAGTTGAAATTTGATACACAGGTTACGTCATGAGAAAGTACACTAAGAAGGGATTTTTCGAAATTCCCGCCTGAGAGGGAGAGGATTAATTATCGTTATCCCGGTGTGGTAAGCAGATATCTAAAAATTTTCTAATTAGTCTCGGAAGAGGGGGACCTAATTCTTGCACTCGGTGAAAACGGGTAAGATCGGCTATAATCTTCATCTTTGCTATCGTTACTTTTTGTCCGAGCAACGTCGGGCTCATCTGCTAGTTTAATTATAAATTGATTTCGAGAGCAATAAAAAAATTTCGTGAGTTTCCACTTAAATTTTAGGTTTTTGGAGTTTCATATTTTGTTTTCATTCGCGTGAATTAGGTTTTTGATTACGTTTGCATTGTAAAGAATATTTCGTACGGTTAACATCACAAAAGTCGTGTAAAACAACGCAGAAATATACACTTTTATATACTAAAATGTAGTTTACTGTTACTATACTGTCAAAAGTCTCAAATATTCCTTGCAAAATATGAATATATACTATATAAACTAATCCATCATTTAGTTAGTTAATAGTCTGGAAAAGTTTTAAAATGGATTATGGAAAAAAGTAATGAAATCAAATTGAAATAAGCAAACCAGAGAAAAGGATCTACTAATTACTGGTTTATAATGAACTATGACATTAAACAATGGATTACCGTGTTTGATGCGTGTCAAATGTCATTTGTCATAAAGTTTTCCAGTTACTCCCTGGATTGAAACTCTATCCTTTCATTATTCAAAAATATAAATTCTCTACTTTGGCGTTTTCAAAAATTACGCCAAATCGTTAGCGAAGTTTTCGTGTTTGGATAAAAATGAAGTCTTAACGACAATGATTAAACAATTATTTGACAAAAGTTTTGACGTGTCTTCAGAGAAATTATTCAAAGTGATACAGAAACAGTTAATGCATTTGGATGTTAGCAAAGAAAACTAACAAGTAAGTTATAGCATTTCCAGAGTAATATATATATTTCCATTTCCTATATAATATAAACTTTGAAAAAATTTAAAACATCAGAACGAAATATTGACGAAGTATTATAAATGAAGACGAGAAGACGAGCATGAGATACTTGTAATAATCTTGTGTCCGCAACTACTGGAACACGCATTTGGCGGAGAACTTACAATTAAAGCTCAACTTAGCTGTTTAGTGTGTCTTTAGCTGTGAAGAATATAGAAGACTAGAACAAAATAGTTGTAAGACTTGGTATAATTAAAAACAACGGAAGAACATTTTTAGAATGGTTTTCGGGTTTAATCTCAACTCTTCTATAAAAAAATAGTTTAACTTTTCGTCAAAATAAAATTTGTTGCGTTTTAAGGTATCAGTACCTTAAAACGCGCAAAACTAAAAAATCCATGTGAAAATTACTTTTGTTTTTCAAGACAATTTATGGCATTGAAAGAGTGGAATCTTCTAATTGGTTCTTCCGTTGGTAACATTACAGTTGTTACCTATGCAAGTACATTCGATTTGCGACCCACCAGTGGCCAAACGGTCTTCGTTCCCTGAACACTGGGGGGTTCGGTCGTGGGTTCGCGCCTCGCTCGGACGGGCTGGCCACGTAGAGGAGTTTTCCGGGCTTTCTACACGTCTGTAACGCCTAAATAGGGGCCAGTTTCCCTTTAAAAACACCTCCTGGAAGGCATCCCCTAGGCAGATCGCCCAAACGTTGCCATAACTAAACAAACAAACATTCGATTTGCATTCTTAAATACAAAATATTTTCTAAACGTATTTTTAAATGAATTGAAATTAGCATAGTTTACTTGAACCTAAGCACTGTTTTATTTATACTGTACTTTGCAGAATTAAAGCGTAATTTACTGGGAAATTTTTCAACGAAAACAAGTTGTAACAAGTAAAAGTAAATTCAATAATTCAATAAAAGTTGAATATTATAGTTTTTTGAGATTGAAATCGATCGTTACATTATCGATCGTTTACATTTATTTACGTAATTCAGATTTGTGTAAATGAAAATTTCTAGATGAGTTCGTTGAGATTATGGAAAATATTCTTACTCCCAAAAACCAATGGCGTGCCATGACATTT